CATTAATTGTACAGTTAAAACACATTATGGTATAGAATTGGTAATTAGGTATACTAAATGTAATTAAATCAAACCTTAAACATTAAGGGTAATATAGTTTCCTATATGGAATAGGAATGTAAAAATTCCAAGTAAAAATTGCACGGGGCGCCCTATTTGGTCGCCCCCATTTAACCTATACCTATTTTTTTTTAAACTTTTAACTTGTACTCACTTTTTAAACAACTTCAGCCCCCTTTCTCCTCCTCCTTCTCCTCCTTCGTTTTCTTCTTTCTTCTTCTACAACGATGACTTAAACATTATTTTAAAGTACCCATCATCACGAAGGAGTAGTAGGTGCTACAATCCGCCTCTTGAAGTTGAGAAGTGGCTGGTTGTATTCTATCTTCCTTGGTAATTATTAAACGTGCCCGAAAATTTTAAGATTCTGTCTCTGCAAGAAAACTTAATACTACTTGTGTTTTGGAGCTTGAAGTCACTCATAAGTGCTCGGTTGCCCTATAATCAAAAACTGCCTAAGGCTTAGCGAAAAACATCTGACCGTAGAAGACAACTCAAATCTATAATAAGAATGGGTAGACTGCACCAATTATATGGATCATAGTAAACATATTTAAACATATTTTATCATTAGCGGTGCAGTAAACCAAGGATTGATCAACTAACTTTTGCAATCGTGGCATGGTTCCTACAACATGCTAAAGTTAATCAAATATAGAACAAAAACTTCAGCTCTAGAGCTGAAGTTCCCTAGTTACAAAAACAAAAACTTCAGCTCTAGAGCTGAAGTTCCCCAGTTACAAAACAAAAACTTCAGCTCTAGAGCTGAAGTTCCCCGGTTACAAAAACAAAAACTTCAGCTCTAGAGCTGAAATTCCCCAGTTACAAAACAAAAACTTCAGCTCTAGAGCTTAAGTTCGCCGGTTACAAAACAAAAACTTCAGCTCTAGAGCTGAAGTTCGCCAGTTACAAACAAAAACTTCAGCTCTAGAGCTGAAGTTCGCCAGTTACAAAACAAAAACACAAAAATAAAAACTTCAGCTCTAGAGCTGAAGTTCGCGAGTTACAAAACAAAAATTCAGCTCTAGAGCTGAAGTTCGCCAGTTACAAAACAAAAACTTCAGCTTTAGAGCTGAACTTCAGGCCCGGCTACTAGAATGCTGAAGTTTTGCGTGTTTGGCTTTGCTACTTCAGCCCCGTATGCTGAAGTTATGCGAAAAAGCGGGTACGCTTGCAATTTTTTTTGCAAAGCGTGCACAAGTTAAAACGTGACACAAAAAACGGGGATAGATGCAAATGCCCCTTCATTGAAGAAGATATACGAATTAATTGCACCCATGGCCAGTTTTCACCTTACCATTTGAGCTAATTCAGTGCTTTTCAAATTATAAAAATGGGAATATACTATATTAAAAACTTATTTACCACTTTTCTAAATTATTTTAAAAAATAAATTAAAAAAAATATTTACCACTTTTCTTTAGGTTTCTTAAAAATTACACTGTGTATATATATTTACTAATATATATACAAAACCATAATAAAAGAAGGATCTCTTAAATTTAGGGATTAATTGTAACCGTAACCCTCCCCATTCCTATTCCCAACGTCTGCCAGCTATATTCCCCACATACAAGCACGATTTTCTTCCCAATTTCAAAAGATTTGAAAATTATTCTCTCTTTCATACAAATCAACCAAAAACTCCCTCTTTTGCACATAAATCAAGTAACTATCTCTCTAAAATTGTAGCACCATATGTTTCTCTAAATCAATTGCACCAACAACCATTGAAAATCTTCAACAATTGACAAATCCATCATCATTATCTCTAAATTTATAGCAACAGAGGGTTCGCCATTGGCAATGAAGCTTTGAATTCAATATTCTATTTTTACCAATTTGTGATGTATTTAGATTGAGTGTTCTTGCAAACAATTGAGAATGCTCTTTGGAGTTTATATCTCAATTTTGAAGGTTATTGGTTAAGTTTAGAGTTGTATTTAGATGAAATTTCAGACTGAAACTCAAAGAGAAAAACGTTTCAGAATTGTATCACGATTGTATGATAACTGTATCATACGTGTATCAGCTTTGCATATGAATTGTTTCCGATACATCAATACCTAAAACAATACCTGATACAATACTAATATAAGTATGATATAGTATTGTATCATAATTTAAGTTAAAGTTGGTTTTAGGTGGAATTTTCATATTGAAACTTTAAGAAGATGAAGATTGGAATTTTATCATAATTGTATCACAACTTATGTATCTAGCTTGTATCTGATACATCAATATATAAAATAATACCTGATACAATACTAATACAAGTATAATACAATATTGTATCAGTTTAAGTTTAGAGTTGATTTTAAGTTGTATCAGAATTGTATTAGAATTCTTTTAGGATTGTATCAAATTTGTATTCGAATTGTATCTGAATTGTATCTGATGCATCAATATATGAACAATACTTGATACAATACTGATACAAGTATAATACAATATTTATATCAGAATTGAATAAGTTTTTTAGAGTAGAACCGTGATAAGTAGAAAATTTTCAAATTTCCTCTAATTTTTGCAATGGATCTTTAAAATTGCATAAGATTCCTTTTTAAGAAATATCACCGTACAAAAAGTAAGTATTTTATATTATTTTAAAATATGATTGCTATTGTCTCCATAGAATTTAGAGAAGAAGAAATTGATATCGAATCTCGCTATATCTATCAAAATGCACGAGAATTTTGCTTATGCTAATTGTATGTATTTATGATCGAGAATCTTATGTATTTTTTGTCTTCGAATGGACCAATTTATAGATGAGTGTGTCAGGCAAATAAATCGAAGAAATTAGGGCGTAGATTTGCATAGAAGGAGAGAGAGAAGAGGAAAAAAAAAAGGAAGGATATAATCAAATCCCTTAATTGAAGGCACTAATAATGGTGCAGAAGCTTTTTAAGGGGAAATATATACAATTTGTAAGAAAAATCTAGATTCTTATTAAAAACTACAAAACCTAGAGAAAATAGGTAAATAAGTTCCTATTGTTGTATATATAGGATAAATTCCCTATAAAAATTATAGTAAGCGTTGGGAAACTTCAGGCAAAAGCCTGTGTCGTAGCACATCTACATAAGGCTAGGTTGAAGTATTGGCTAGCTTGTGCTTTTGTTAAAGCAGTAATAGCATGTTTGACCAAGTTTTTTTGGGGCCAAAAGTGCTTTTGGCCAAAAATTAAGGTGTTTGGCCAAGCATTTGGAAGAAAAAAAAGTATTTTTGAGGAGAAGTAGAAGCAGTTTTTGAGAAGTATAAAAAAGCAGTTTCTCTCCAAAAGCACTTTTATGAGAAGATCTTTTGAAAAATACTCTTATTAGAAGCAATTTTCAAAAGCTTGGTCAAACACTAATTACTGCTCAAAAGTGCTTTTCAAATTAATTAGTCAAACACAAACTACTTCTCACCAAAAGCACTTTTTTGGAAAGTACTTTTGAGAAAAGCATTTCTCAAAATAAGCTGATTTTAGAAGTTTGGCCAAAACACTATTGTGAAATTGAGCCATGCAATCTGAATTGTTGTGTATTTCTTCGAGATGAAGAAATGGTGTGAAAGAAGAAGAAAGGAAATTGTTTCATTCAATCTGTAAAATGAGTTGATACACAACTTATATACACATTTCTCACACCTCACACACGTGCACTTCACATGACTGTTAACTAACTCTTAACAGATTGGTAGCACTAACTATGCCAGCTAATTCTAGCTAATCACAGTTAGTGCTAATGTCTAACACTTTGCACTATTCTGCGCCTGCTTCTCTTCATTTCATTACTCCCCTCCAAGCTGGAGGGTGAAAGACATCGAACACTCCTAGATTGGATAGGAGAAGATGATGTTGACTGACTCCCAAACCTTTCGTGAGAAGATCTGCAAGTTGAGACTGTGTGGCAATGTAGTTGGTCTCAATAAGGCCTTCCTTCATCTTTTCTCGAACGAAATGACAATCAATATCTATATGCTTGGTACGCTCATGAAAAGTTGGGTTTGCTGCGATCTGGATGGCTGCTTTGCTATCACAGTGAAGTTGAATTGGTTTAGAAACGGTCACACGTAAGTCTTATAGTAACCCAACTAGCCATACAATCTCTGCCACACTGGCTGCCATACTTCGATATTCAGCTTCAGCTCAGCTTCGACTGACTGTGTGCTGCTTCTTTGTCTTCCATGAGATTAGAGAATCACCCAGCTTAATCACGTATCCTGTGACTGATCGTCTAGTATTGGGGCTAGGGGTGTTCATGGTTCGGTTTGGATCGGTTTTTCCTAAAAAGAAACCAAACCAAGTAAGTCGGTTTTTCAAATATTAGAACTAAACCAAACCAATTAAGTCGGGTTTTCCTCGATTTGGTTTATGTCGGGTTTTGTCAATTTTTCGGTTTTTTCAGTTATTTGTCGGTTTTTTCTTAAATATAAGACATACACTACCAAACACATATTCCGGCGACCACATTTTCAACGTGACACTATCAAATCAATTGCCTTTTGAGAAATCTATTATTTACCAAGATATATTGATGATAATTTAATCAAATAGTGATGAATAATTTAAGGACTCAATTAAAAATATATTATTTTTAACACGAAATGGATTCTTACACTTAACAAAAGAAAACTACCAATCAAACTAGAATGTAAAGGTAAAGAACTATACTAAAAGTGCAAACTATTAACATTTACCATAATTTTTTTGAAACTTTGCATAAAAATATACATATATATAAGTGTAATAATAAATTTGAAATAGCTAATCCTATAGTCGGTTTGGTTCGGTTTTTTTCGATTTTTTCTGATTAAAACTAAAACCAAACCAAATTTGATCGGTTTTTAAAATTCAAAACCAAAACCAAATCAAACCAAAAAGTATCGGTTTTCTTGGTCGGTTTGGTTTGGTTTTCGGTTTGGTTCGGTTTTTCGGGTTTTTATGAACACCCCTAATTGGGGCATGTTCCCCAGTTAGAGTCGCAATAGGCAGTCAATCGAGTAGCTGGCTTATGACTGAGAAAAATTCCTAAACCAGGGATGCTTTTAATATATCTCACCACCCTCAAGGTTGCTTCCCAGTGTGATTTCTTGGGCTGCTGCATGAATTGGCTAAGGACCTGAACAGGGAAGCAAATGTCTGGGCGTGTGATAGTAAGGTAAATCAGCTTACCTACCAGTTTTTGATAACCTGACATATCTTCAAGCACAGGATCATCAGCTGCTCCAGTCAATCTGTCAAACTCAACAGTCGTGAGTCTTGTGTTTGCTTCAATTGGTGTCTGTGAGCACGTGATTTTTGCCCTATATGAATTATTCCCAGAAATTCAAACAAAATGATTTCTTTCATTATTTTGCAATTTTGTGGATTTTTGTGGCATTTTCTGTTAATTGTTTGCATTTTTGTCTGTGCATTTTGATTAATGAAAAATACTAAAAAGGGGTGTTGCATGTGCATTTAGGAGCTAGTTTTAGCATTTTGCATTAATTAGTAATCACGTTATTTTATAAAAAAAAGAAATCACAAAAATATTTCAATTCGCACTTTTAATTTTGACTTTGATTTTGAGTAGTGTTTCTTTTAAATTTATTTTGTGTTAATTATCATATAGGTTTAATTAGTTTTAGGGTTAATCGAGGTTTAGGAATTAATTTAGATTTGTTTTTAGTTGTAATTTAAAAAGAAATTAGAAAAGAAATAAAAAGAAAAGAAGGCAAATGAAGAGAAGAGAGCAGTTGGGCCATTCCTCCACCAGGCCCAAGTCTTGAGCCCAAAATAAACCCCTGAAACCCGCCTGGTCCATACCCATTCCCTAACCCGGCCTGCCCCCGTCCCAAAACGATGCGTTTCGGCCTGTTAAATCTGGACCGTCGAGGTTACAAGATCTAACGGTTCGAGAAGCCTACATCCATAACTATATAATTGTCCTAACGATACCCCCCCCCCCCTTCAGACCCCCCCTGCCTCTCATCTCTCACACTTCAGAGAACCCTCCATCGCCTACCACTGCGCGCCGCTGGCCGGAAATCGCCTCCGCCGGCGGCGGTTGTCCAATGGCCCTGAAATTTACACCATGTCCTCTTCGTCACCTCCCCGTTCCATATCTGCTATTGGTTTCTTTCAAACATCACCCAAACGTCTCAAATAATTCAAACCCTAGCGCCGCAATCGCCGTGTACGGCGGCGCCGTCCCCAATCCCAACCAAACTTACACCGTAAGTTCACCTCCACCCCCACATCACAAATCCACACCCCTGTTACTTCAAATGTTCCTTAAACTTCTCGAATATTGAATCTAAATTCGGAACCTGAGCGGGCATCGTTTCTTCTCCGATTTCTTCACGAGTTTTAGGCTCAATTTCATCGTGGAATAAGGTTATTTGACTGTTCTT